AGCACAATACCATATTATTCTTCTAACCAAGAATTATTATATCCAAATGGCACGCTTGGAAAACCAACAGTAGTTTGGCTGATACAGCTGCATGAAGATAATAATGTCTACATTTTTCTTGTCATCAGCTATAAATCTTGCCCAGAGTGGGGTTAGGAATTTTTTTCTTCTATTAAATATCAGTACCATTTTACAAAAACCAAGTGATCACCATGAAGCTGAATATATCTATTATTCAGAAATACAATATTGAATCATTAATGTTCTTAATATTCTAACTTTTGCTTCCTTGCATTATATAGCACATAATTGCTGAGAGTTTGACTCTTATCTAGTAACTGCCAAAGAACCACAACTAAGCATTCAAAATTCCTTTCATGTTGTGTAGTGTATAGACCTCCTCAGAAACAACTAGTACAATAATTCTACATTATTCTTAATTTAGAATTAAGAATCCATTTACAGATTTCGGCAAAATCCAAGTTAAAACAAAAATAAGCATTCACATATTCCATTTTTTGTTCACTTCCTTTCTTTTTAGTTTAGTTATTTGGGTGCTAAAGGAAAGGCAAAATATTCAGTACTAATATCTCTGGTAAGATTTGTTTTTTTCTAGTGTTAGTCAGTGTTTTTAGTGTTTCTAGAGCAGACGATCATTTGTCTGCTCAGGAATTACTGGAGACATAAACATATATTTAAGGTTGATATCCAAATATCTTTCAGAACAAATTGTTGTTTAGGTCCACAGTTCAAATTTCTGAAAGGGAGATATCTGGGTGCATTTGGTTTAGAAGGACATCTGTACTTGGAGGTTGGGGAAAAGTCTATAAAGATACTCAGCTAAATGTGTTTATGAAGTTCCTGCATAATTTTATGCTGAACTAAATGGGAGCTCAATAAGTATTGACATTTGAGGAATATAAGGAGAAGGTCTTATGCATTCATGTACCCCAGCCTAATTAAACTGTAATGAAGTGAGGCAAATACATAAATAGGATGACTGCCTGACCACTATTAGACATAGCAGAAAGAGAGAGAGTGGGGGATGGATGGAGAACAATGATCTATGGTTGTAAAATATTAGCTTCCATTATCATGGAGCCATGGATAGATTAACCAGCTCAAATGTTTTATTTGGTGGCCCATTTGGCTTGAAAGCTTAACACCTCAAAAACCAAGATCATGGTCGTCAGCAAACAACCCATTAATTTACCAATAACTTTGGAAGGAATACCACTAGAAAAAGTTGAAAGGATCACGTACCTCGGTTCTAATTTATATGAAAGCTGGGACATGACCACTGAAGTAAAGACAAACATAGAGAAAGCTTGAACAGTATTCTTCAAAATGAAAAAGGTCTTCTGCAGTCATGACAAAAGCCTAAGATTGAAAATCAGGTTTGTCAGATGTTACATCTTTTCTATCCTGCTCTATGGAGTAGAGAGTTGGTCTCTGACAGAAAGCCACTTGAAGAGACTAGAAGCATTTGAAATGTGGATTTACAGGCAGCTGTTATGTATAAGCTGGGTTGACAAAATCAGAAATGAAGAGGTGATAAGCCACCTAGGAAAGCCAAGGGAAATCATCAAAACCATTAAAAAGCGAAAGTTAGAATATTTCGGACATGTGATGTGACACCCAGAAAAATACAGCATATTCACTTAATTCCTCAAGAAAGATTGAAGGCAAACAAGGTCCAGGTAGAAGAAGAACATCATGGCTTCAAAATCAAAGGGACTGGTTTAGACAAAATCCAGCAGCACTTTTTCATGTGGCTGTTGATAAAAATAGGATTGCCAACATGATCGCCAACGTCCGATGATGAATATGGCACAAGAAGAAAATGAAGTCATGTTGTAAAACCAAAAATTGTGTGCTGTGTAATTTAATAGAAAAGATGAATAAAGATATGTAGATCAGCATATTGGACATGACCCTTTTAAAAAAAGAATATAAGTAAGAACTAATGCTTTTGTTTGATTGCTTTTGTGAGCCATGATGAAGATGTCTACATACCCTTAAATAACTGACTATATAACTGAGCAACAACTAATCTGCAAGGTCCTGCTAAATTCCCACCCTGGTATCATCCTTCCTCCAGTGGTCAGGACTGTTAATTCTAGGCACAAGAATCCCCTAACAATTTTTATAAGAAAGAATAGTGGCTTCCAGTGAGGCAAGACAAACCAATATCCATATATTTTTTTCACTTTGCAAATGTGGGGGAATTACAATAAAAAAGGCAGTTGGATGTAAGATCCAGACTGCCAAAAGTCTCTCTGGAACAAATATAGATCTGGAGATTGCCCATATGTACTCTAGGCAGCTGATTTTTGTGAACAGTCAGCAGAAATAGAAGTATTTGCAGTCCCTTGCAATCAGCTGGGAGTAGTGGGTTCCATCATACTCTGATCTATAAATGCAGCTTTTCATAGACTCAGGCTTTGACTAAATCTTATCTTTTTAATTACTTTGGAGCCTTACTTTTTATTGCCTCTTTGAGATTGAAAAACCTTCAAAACCACAAACCTATCAGTTGCTGAGTGAGTTTCCCTTTAATCCCTTTAAAAAGAAAGAAAATGATGTCTCTTCAGCATAGTAAATTCTTAATTTATTTTTTTTGCAATATACAGCAAAGGGGTGGCTTTATTTAGAGTTCTTTTTTTAGGGAAAGATTCTAATGCTAAAGCTTAGTGAAATCTTTAAATTTAAAGAAAGGTTTGGGAAATTAATTACAAAGATCCTCTTGTGTGGGAAATATCTGTGTTATTTACCTTTCAAATACAAACAAGACTTCGAAGGTTGATGACCAAAGCACATGATGCCTACTTTAAAAGAAATGTTTGATTTCTGGGCTTGTAAAATGCTCAAGCTTTTTAACTCTTTACTGGAACTGAAGATAACCAAATGCCTCTAAAGATTAACAAAGTGACCTTTGAGGTGGACTTAAAAATTATATCTTACATATATATAATAAAAGAGATAGAAATCCTGAATTTACAGATGGAATTGGATGATCATTTAAAAATAAAAAGGATATGGCAACAGTATATGAGAAGAGTAACATGGATTACCCTTCTAAACTGAAGAGATTTACTGGAGTTATTTCATGGAAATTACAAATGGGCTTTGATAAAGATGTTAAGATCTTCCAGAGAAGAGGTAAAAAAGATAAAAAAAGAAAGCAGGAGTTAGAATTTTACCTAGAGTACTTAAGGATAGCTGGAAGGAAAAATATTTTTTTTAAAAATGGTTTATTTGACTATGGTTAAATAAATTCGTATTTTGATTGTGTTGAATAGTATCTGAACTGGATCATTTATTCTTTTGGGAATGTTTAATGGTGTAATGGATTAGTTTATAATGTTGATGTCATTATTTTTGATATCTAAAGAGCTTATTTCTGGTAATGTTTAGCTATTATTTTTTGCAATGTTTACTTGTTAAGAGAATGAGAATGGGGATTTAGATTAAATATAAAGGGAGATTATGTATTTATATTGTTAGATATTTTTGTTAACTTTTACTGATTAACTGCTGATTAACAAGGACACTGAAGATGAGAGATGAGTTTATAGAAAATAGGGTGAGATATAGAATGAAGAAGTATCTGCTTGCATTTTAAGAGACATTGATACATTGTTAATATTGAATATGCTTATTGGAGCGAAGGGGAGAATTTATTCTTACTAATGGGGGTATTTTTAAATATATTTGTATTTGGCTTTTGTTTTTGTTTTATTTTATTTTATTTACATTTATTTAAGATAAAATATAACTAATAAGAGTCATCTCCTGATTTTGCAATATCTTTCCCCTTCCACACCCACCAAGCCATGTCCACCAAGCCACACCATGTCCACCAAGCCACACCATGCCCACCAAGCCACGCCCACAGAACTTGTTCTGTCGTGGAGAATGACAAGTGCAGCGCCCACTAGGTAGTGGACAGGAGTGAGAACTGTGAACATAACAGAACCGGTAGTAAAAAAAATTGAATTTCACCACTGGTTATGGTATAGGCCGGGAAGGATGCTTAGGGATTTCTTTCTCCCTGTTCATTCTTGCTCTTTACTTTCCTTTGCCTGGCCTTTTATAGTAGGCAGGTAAAAATGACTTTTGCTTTAGTAAGAGAGTGAGGGATTCCAAGATTGGCTGAGAAACACTCAAAACTGAAGATCACTTGACTGCAACAGCAGTATATCATCAGCAGCCTGTAGTCCTGAAACGACCACAATTTCCCCAAATTTCATTCCTTTGGGTGTCATGAATCCTGAACTTTGGACACATTTTGTAAGTTAACCCATTTGAAGTACCTTGGTTCAAATATTGTTGCCCTATGATGCACTATTTCACCCAGTTTAAAGGTCACAACAATGAGTTTTATCTATCTATCTATCTGTCTGTCTGTCTGTCTGTCTGTCTGTCTGTGTGTGTGTGTGTGTGTGTGTGTGTGTGTGTGTACAGTTAATATTTCGGGTTTCTTCCTGTGTAATTGTGAACATATCCCTAAAAGGGCAGAAGCGATGTTTTGACAGAATCTCATCTGCCATCACCAGGCTTATGTGAAGGGTCTTTTGCTGTAACATTCACATAAGCCTGATGATGGCAGATGAGATTCTGTTGAAACGTTGCTTCTACCCTTTTAGGGATATGTTCACAATTACACGGGAAGAAACCCGAAATATTAACTGTACACACATATATACCCGTGAAAACTTACATATATATATATATATATACACATACATACACACACACACAAACACATACATACATGTATACATACACACATACATACACAAATGCTGCTGTGCCTACAACAGATGTACACATAAATCTCCAATGCTTTTAAAACACACAAGCCCCATATAACCTGCTCTTATGAACAAATAAAGTGAAGTGTTTTGAAAATGGTTTGTGTATATATATATATATATATATTCTGACTCAAGAATCTTTGAGTGGCTATGCTCTAAAAAGTAGTGCCTGGGGTAAACTTTTATTTGATTTACATTTATTTAAGATAAAAATAGTTAATAAAATTCATCTCCTGAGGTGCATTTAATGGTGTTTTTTTTTTGTTTGTTTGTTTTTGTTTTTTGCTGCATTAAACTTTAGTAATTGCTTGTGGGGGCATCTCAAGCCATTGACATCAGTGAACATCCCTGGGCCTTGAAGTTATGTAGGCTCGGATTGAGTCCTCCATTTGTCTGCAGATTCTCCCTGGAAAATAAGTAAACAATGCATATTTCATTCAAGCTGCCTTTGAAATTTAAACTCCGTGATATTATTAGGTGCATAGTCAAGTCACTGACTCTAGCTTACTTTACAGCTGAGCTCCCTTGTGGCCACTTCCTTTTAGATAGTAAGCTAATTTGCTAACTTTTAAAGGTGAGAAAGGAACCCTGCCAGACCTGAGGACTGTCCTACTCATCCTTCCAAATAGGGACTGCTTAAGGCAGGGGTGGGCAACTGTAGCCCTTTTACAACCTGTGGACTTCAACTCCCAGAATTCCTGAGACAGCCAAGCTCCCCAAGCTGGGAGTTGAAGTCCACAGGTCATAAAGGGGCCATATTTATGGCCCCTTTATGGCTTAAGGTTATTCCCAATGACAGGTATGTACAAGGCAGATGCTAAAAGAAAGCATGTGGCTGTTCTGACCTAGGCTTCCTTAGAAAGTATAAAGCACAATCTTAGTCCTGGCAAACCTCTTTAATTCATACAGCTGTGAATTATTGTCATTCCCAGTCTTTCAGGGGAGTGTTTACAAACACCCACCTTATCTCCCTTGGAATTCTGCCAGAGAACTAAGTGCCACATGTAGGGCAAGCCCAAACTTAGCATAGAGTCAAACAGAACTTTTCCAAAGCTTTTACTGACCAGATGAACTAATTGCTTCCTGCAAAAGCTCACATCCCGTTCGCTTCTCTTTTATGTCTTATGGGAGGGGCCAATCATCCCCAAGCCTTACTCACAAGTCGACTGTGTTTTCTTAATTGTTCCTGTCTTCTGGAAGCTTTGTGCATGCGCACATTGGGAACAGGCTCCCGCTGTTCTTCTGCCTTGCTGATGCCTCAAAGAACTACCAGATGGCCTTGGCCCCCTCTCTGCCTCCGACTCAGAGCCCTGGTCTGAGCCTTCCCCAGACTCCAGGACTGGCCCACGTTCCTCCGCAACCTCCTCACTGTCTGAATCTGCTGCCAGCTCTGCTGGCCGCTGGCGGGCCACAACAGTGGCTTTATGACTGAGTTGTTATAAGTGTGATACTTAGGCCTACCATATCTACACCCCAAAAAGCCAGATGTCAGGTAAATGACAACAAAGAGATACAGAAAACTCTGAGCAAATGCTTGCTATTAAGTATAATTCATATGTTCCCATTCCATTGCAATGATGGGTACATCAAATTTGAATGGTGAGAGAGTGAAAGGGAGGGAGAGGGAGAGGGAAAGAGAGGGGGGGAGAGAGATTGATTGCTATGGTCTCCAAAGGATTGACTCCCAAGCGTACTATGGTTCCATTTATGATCTTTGAGGTATGAGACTAGAGTGTCAGCAGAACACATTCTTTAACAAAAACTTCAGCTATATTGGTTGCATCAGCCACTACTAGGTGTCATCATACTTGGAACCAAACAGGAAACAATAACTTAAGAGTGCCTTTGGATGTGCCTGTTCTCACCAAAGACCTTCTCTCCATGTTTTTGATGATAAAGCCAAGAGCCCTTAGGAGGGATCCATCTATGCTTTTGGAACTGTTTCAGAAAGCCATCTCTCCGAAAGGCATTCTTCCCTCCTTATCTTTGCATGCAGACCTAGCAAACCACTCAGGGAAGAAAACAACACAATGACATCTCTGCATATATTCAGGAGAGACACAGAAGGAGGAAAGCACACAGAATATGACAGCTTTTCCCATCCCCATCACTGCAGCTGTGCCGATTGGGGTAAGACTAAATGCCTATCAGTATAGGATTATATATATTTAAAAGCTTAGAATGTATATATTGGTATGGGGCATCAAAGCCAGCTAATAACTACGCTGTGTATTATTATTTGGGGGAGTAGATTTTTTTTGGTTTTGTTATTGTTGTTGTTTAGTTAAGTCCTCACTAAAGAAGAAGGAAATAATCATTCTCCTCTCAGATGAACTTGGTCTCATCACTCTTAGTATGGACATTAACTAGATCATGTACTGAAAAGAGTACCAACAAAACTATAGACTTAATATTTTCACACAAAATGAGCTGTATGCTGTGTGGGTAATCCACAGAAGGGCTTGATGCAAACAGATCACTCTAATGTGGGCTTTTGAGGAAAGACACAGTGTTGACCTACCTGAACCTGATGAGACCTTTTGCTTGGTAGTAATTGCCCTCTTGGTAACTGTAATGGTCTGTGGGAATAACCTTGAGGAACAGGAGGAAAAGCCACAACCAAGGCAACAGTCAGATAAATGAAATCTGAATCCAGGGCAGAAATGTAATATGAGAAAGCATCTCAGATGCGACCCTCCCTAGTCAGAAGTGGGCTGCACTTTCTTTAACAAAGGATTTACTGGTTGTGATCGTGTGTACGTGCCCCTTTGGGAGAGAAACAAAGCTTCAAACAGGCTCTTAATCAGCTCTGGTGGCTCCGATGAGAACAGCAGGGGTGGCGTGGAACACAGCTGGGCCAGCCAACGAGCCAGAAAGTAAGTTATAAATGGATACCATAGAACAGGAGTGGGTGGGCGGGCCTAGCCAGCGATCAGAGCTAAGGGTTTGCCCGAACCCTTGCGACCATGCAGCAGCCCACCACTGTCCCTAGTTCTTATGATGATAAAGGAAGGGAGGGGGGAAGTGCATTCAGGTTTATAAGATTCTTTTACCATAAGTTTATAATAAAAGTAGTATTAGCATTTATTGCTCTGATGTCTTATTCTGGTCTATCTCAAAAGACTGACAGTAACATGAATTATCCACCCATTGACAACTAGACATGTATCTTTTTGCATGACACAATAGCTTGTCCTAATAAAATACTGGGAAGTCATTAGTCACAAGACCCAATACTCTGAAAACCATTCAGTTTTCAACTAGACAGAGCATGTATTTCATATGAATCAGAAAATGCCTATACTATGAATACAATCAATTCCTTTGTAGGGTAGAAAGACATGGAGCTGAAAGTCTGAAGGTCAGATATGCGCATTGCTAAATCAAGCTTCAAGGGATTTAATTATCTATCTATTTATATCATGTATCATTTATCTATCCTCTAATCTCTGTCTTTATTAGATTAAAGTGGAACATTATTATGGCTATCATCTGCTCCAAAAATATATTGGGAATTGTTTCTTTTTATATTTAAACTCATTTTTTATAATAGTAATCATGAATTCCATCTGTGTGAAGTTTTAATTATGAATAAAGGTAATATTTGTTATGATTAAATTAGTTTATTGTATCAGGATAGGTCCCGTTCAAGCAAGATCTGGTCTGGGTCCAGTTATTTGGGTTGGAATTGGTCATACAATATTATCTTTGCATCCCTTTATGAGAAAAATGGCAAACTAAGGGACACTGATCCTGCCTTGCAAAAATAAATAAAGTAATCAAATCAATGGAAGGTCTTCAAAGCAAGATCAGCTCCTGGTGACTTTCCAAACATCCACATATGGTTGGGGGTTGTTGTTGTTTGTTTTATTAGTGTTTGTTTTTGGTAGTAATTCAGACAGAGTTTGCAGATCTGGATTTTTTATTTTCTTTTTTCACTACCAAGTCAAGACTCTCAATTCTCAGAGCTACCCTTCCTAGGTTTCTCAGCTAATATTGAGTGGATCAGCTCAATAATAAAATACATGACCAGCATCACACATCATCCTGATTTAGGAAAGTCATTAACACCAATCAGCCCCTTTAAATTGAAAAATACAGATCTTGGAAGTGGATGGCATTAAACATTGTTTGTTCAAATATGGTTTATAGAATGTACCATCAGGCTATGTTTTCTCAGTCCTTGAAACCACAGAGTATGGAAAAGGTGTCCTCTGGATTGAAAGCATTTGTCAAATTACAAAAGCAGAATCATGCCATTGAGAGACAAAGTCTGCCCCTTTTGTACACAGGTATGTCATCATGACACCTGTACACCTGGAGATGTTTTTGTCACAAGAGCACCACCCTTTTATCAGTTGCCTCCCTTTATCTCCCCGCACAGAGGCCTCTGAGCAATAGTTAGCAAAGCACCATGGATGGGTTCAAACATTGTCAAATTACAAAATTTGACCATTGTGTGATTTGTCTGGCTTGGTTTAATGCAGTTGTGAACCAGCTATCGCAGAGGTGGGTTTCAGCAAGTTCTGACCAGTTCCACCGGTAGTGGAAATTTTGAGTAGGTCGGAGAACCGGTAGATACTACCTCTGACTAGCCCTGCCCCCATCTATTCTCTGCCTCCCGAGTCCCAGCTGATCAGAAGGGGATTTTGCAGAAACTTTCCCCTGGAGTGGGGAGGGAAAGGAGATTTTACAGTATCCTTCCCCTGGAGTGGGGTGGGAATGGAGATTTTACAGTATCCTTCCCCTGCCTCACCAAGCCATGCCCACCAAGCCACACCCACAGAACCACTAGTAAAAATTTTTGAAATCCACCACTAAGCTATTGGCTATCATGCTGGTTTCTAATAGACTGTAAGTTCAAGTATCCAGGTACTTCCAAGGAGTCATTTATACCTTGGATTCCAAAAGTGAACTTCAAGTAACTGGATACTTGAATTGATAGTCCATTAGAATCCAGCACGACTGGTTTACACCTGCATTAAACCAAACCAGGCAAATCACACAATGGCTTTGCACAATATTTGAACCCATCCATGGTACTTTACTAACTGTGGCTCAGAGGTGTCTGTGGGGGAGATAAGGGGAGGCAAATGTGATAGAAACATCACCACATGTACAAGTGTCATGATGTTAAGGGGCAGAGTTTGTCTCTCAATGAAGTGACATTGTTTTTTGTAATTTGACAAATGCCTTCAATCCTTTTAACTACTTTGGACTTTTAACTACTTATTTTCCACATGAAAGTTATAAGCCATTCATCATTTCTGTTAGCTCATTTATCATTCTGTGTTATACAAAAACTTTCATCAGAAATCTGCCTTCTCTGTTGGGCTGTTTCCAGAACAGAATTGAACTGAATGTTGAGTATCTTCATTCAAGAGATTGATGAATAATGTATCTCCATGGTTAACTTTTATATCTCAAACATAAGCGATATGATTTGATTGCTTTAATAACATAGTTAACTATACTTGCATTATAAGAGTCATCTTATATAATGTTTAGCTTCAGGGTATTATATAAAACTGTTTCCTCAGTTATAGTTTCTTGCCTATAAATCCTTGACCTTATTAGAACTTGAAATCTACTCACTTTTTCTGCTAAAGTAGACAAAGACACTGCTATCACCTACCAAATTCTTCCCTCCACCCCTCTTCTTAGCATTTTCCTGCAAATGCAGGTTATGATTGTTGATTGATTTGGTTGCAGCAGGAATTGTCTGATTGGCTTGTAGGCCAGAACCTGATGTCATGTGCTGAGAGTGGAGGACCTTCATGGCTAAAGCAAGAGTCAAACTCACAAGCTACTGGTTTCTAGCCTGATGTCTTTTCCTCTAAACACCAAATTTACTGTTGTAATATATTTGCCCATCTCTCTCTCTCTCTCTCTCCCTCCCTCCCTCTCTCATAATTGTGAGAGTACTTTCTAAAATACCTATATATTTGATGGATGGATGAAATCTCTGTAATGGTTACTTCCTTATATTTATTTATCAGGTTTTTATCTGCCTTTATTATTTTAATAAATAACTCAAGGTGGTAAGGCATCTTCCTCTTCCTATTTCCTCCACAACAACCACTCCTTGAGGTAGGCTGGGCTGAGAAAGATGCCTAAAGTGGGACTAGAACTAGAACCAGAACTTAAATTTTGGAGTGTATATGAACATTCATCAGGTTGACTCAGCCTTCCATCCTTCCAAAATTGATAAACTGAGAACACCAATTATTGGAGGCATTATACTGACTGTGTAAACCACTTAGGGAGTGCTGAAAGCAGTATTAAGTGGTATATAAGGCTAGGTGCTATTATTAATATTATAGTAACATAACAAAGAATACCAAAAAAGTTTATACGTTTAGCTGGAGTACCATTTAGCCTTGTTTACATTCAAAGAAATTCTTTTGCTTTAGGATTTAGTTATTTAACAGGGATCTGGGGGCTCAGTGGATAAGATGCTGAGCTTGTCAATCAGAAGCAGTTCGAATCCCAGCTTCTGCCAACCTAGCAGTTTGAAGGGATGTAAAAAATGCAAGTAGAAAAATAGGGACCACCTTTGGTGGGAAGGTAACAGCGCTCCATGTGCCTTCTGTGTTTAGTCATGCCGGCCACATGATCATGGAGACGTCTTCGGACAGCACTGACTCTTCGGTTTAGAAATGGAGATAAGCACCCTAGAGCCGAAAATGACTAGCACACATGTGCGGGGCAAGCTTTACCTTTACGTTACATTCAAAGAAGTTCTGTTGCTTTAGGATAGATCCTGTTCCTCATAACCTTTTTCAGAATCCCCAGAAGCTTCAGTTTTTGTTCCTCCCCTAAGATGCAGCCAAAGTCAAGCATTTACAAAATTAACCCTCTCTTCCAGAAATCAGTAAGACTTAAATGTAGTTTCCTTGGAATAAGGGAAACATGATGAGACTATTCACTTAAATAAGAGGTTTTGCAAAGAGCTATAAAGAAGCAGCTTTCTGTTCTGACTACAATTCACCAGCTCTCCTGGTGTAGGAATGAGCTCACAATATTAATGTGCTCTGAATGCAGAAGTCGCAGCAGCTGCTTTAACTTTAGCTATTGAAAATGTATTTTGCAAACATGTGAACACATGTTCAGATTTAAAAATGTATCTCCCTCCTGCCTAAAACCTTTTAGTAATTCAGAAACATCTTACAACCAACCTTACTTCAAAAGACATCTGCATCTCATGTGTGTTTTTCATAGAAGATATGTTTTTCTAAATGACATCATCATCTTTAATGTTTTTCAATAAACATTACATTCTTATCAGGTTTCAAACTTAAGAAGAGATATTTGCTATTTAACATTGAATGAATTATTGAGGAGTGGGGGATAGCTTGTCATCTATGCAGTCTGTTGCTAGATTCCTAGCCTATTCCATTGAATATGCTTAATTCCATAAAGCATGTTGTGATGCCCTCTAACACATCCATGGTTTGAGAAGGGAATTCATGAACCTCAATTTCCTGTGAGTCATATCACAACTTGTTGGAGTCCAGTTCAATCACACTTACTTTAAATAAGAAAGCAGATCAATTTGCAGCCATAAGCATGTTTAGCATATTAAATCTTAA